CCCATGTGGGTGCAGAGGCCCACACACTTGGGCCATCATCTGCTGCTTTCCCAGGCACATTAGCAGGGAGCTGGATCAGAAATGGAGCAGCTGGATCTTGAACTGGCACCCATATGGGATGCCAGCATTGCAGGTGGTGGTTTTACTCACTTTACCACAAGGCTGGCCCAATCACTCTGCCTTTTCACAGGAAATTGAAACCCAAACCCATCTCCAATATGACTGAAATCTCAGTATCTACTTGTAAATCATTAGAAGACATCTTTATTACACAGCTGTAATTTTTTTTCTAGAATTCCAAGTTCAATATCTAAATCTATTATCATAATTTCATAGTGTGGAAGTTCTCTTGATTTTGTGCTTCAAGTTCGAACTCTTAGGAATACACAGTATCTTCAGCCTTTAATGTAAGGATGTCTCTGTGGCCAGGACTGCTCTGTAAGATGACAAAGTCAGGAGACTCAGAGAGTTGGGTGTGTTGGAATTGATGTATCACAAACACCTGAAAACCCAGCGGAAGACTGTGTTCCTCTGAAGAATCCAAAGGGGAACTCCTTTCACCGAAGTTAGAAATGCCTCAGTGGTGCAGGGGCAGGAGGTTCACTCCCAAGCACGGGTTGCAGTTGCAGTGGCACTCATAGAACCAGGTGAGCTGCACCATGGACATGCAGGATGAGTCCACGTTCTGCAGGTTCCTGTTGCTGGAGCTGATGACCCCTCCCTATCAGGGCCCTGAAGTTAGTGTTGGAGATTTATGGGGACCATATGTTCTGACTTCTCTGTGATGTAGCTAATCTTATGATTAACTCCTAGTCCTGATCAGCCCAATTTGCTCTCTGGTTGTAGGAAAAAAGGAAAATTCAAATGCCATCATAGAGTTTTTGAATTTTTTCAGTCCTGATCATAGTTGGTGATTGGCTGACTCAACCTTGCCATTTTTTCCCCTTTAGCACATTGGTGACACTTAAGAGTTATCAACTAAACTCAGTCCTTATAGTTACCATGCCACTTTATCTCTCAAGTGCTGATGATACTGCATAAGACAGCACATACCCTGAAGACTGCATTCCATCCCAACTCACCACAGTTGAGACTATAGTAATTTGCCAGTGGGGATTATTTCCCTTCTTACCACCAGAATATTAATGATCTATTGCTTAGCAGCTTAAACCAAATACTTATGTTCTCAAAACTTCTATTGGGTGGAAAACCAGACCAGCCTTAGCTGGTTGCTTGATTTTGGGTCTTTGACAAAGCTATGATTGTAGTGTTGGATAGAGTGGCAGTCATCTCAAGGCTTGACTCAGGAAGAGCTCCACTCTCCGTTTCACTCACATTGCTGTTGACAGGCCCTAGAAGGTCAACTTCCAAGCTTGCTCAGGCCCTCTCTATGGAGCTGCTGCAGGATGTGGTAGCTGTTTGTCCAGAATGAAGATCCTAGAGAGAAACTCCCAAAATAGAAGCCATGGCCTTTTTATTAAAAATACTTCTAATGACATAAAATATTTATTATTTGAAAAGCAGATTTACAGAGAGAGAGAGAGCAAGCGAGAGAGCGAGCGTGCAAGTGAGCTTTCATTCCCTGGTTCATTCCCCAAATGGCTGCAATGACCAGAGCTGGACCAGGCAAAAGTCAGGAGCATGGAACTCTATCCAAGTCTCTTATGACAGTGGAGGGGTCCAAGGACTTGTGCCATCTTCTGCTGCTTTCCCAGACACATTAGCAGGGAGCTGGATTCAATGTGGAACAGCCAGGATTCAAACCAAGAGCCCATATGGGATGCTATGTCATAGGCAGTGGCTTCACGTTTTGTGCCACAATGCTAGTCCCAAGACTTCTAATTTTAGAAGTGATATTCTAATATTTCTGCTATTAAACTTGGGTCAGCCAAGTTTAAGTGCAGCCCACACTTAATGAGAGGATTACACAAAGGCATAAATACCATAGGCTGTGGATGATGGGGCTTCATCTTACTGAAACGGGGTCTTTTCACCATCTTGCTGGCAAGTGATCCAGTTCCAGGGTTCCATCTTTAGGGTTATCTTCTTATGGCTGCTTCTTGTGGCAGCTTTTTTATTTGGGCTCCCTCAGACTCCACTTTTGAGATAAAAATGAGACTTCTAATGGTTCCATAAACAATTTAAATGAACACCAATAGCAAAGTGGGGTAAGGTAATACAAGCAGGGAAGGTTACAAAAACAATACTTTTTTATTGTGGTAAAATATTTTTATAATATAAAATTTATCATTTTGTTCTTTTTAAAAAAACAATGTTGGGGCCAGCGCTGTAGCTCACTTGGTTAATCCTCTGCCTTGTGGCGCCAGCATCCCATATGGGCCCAGGTTCTAGTCCTGGTTGCTCCTCTTCCAGTCCAGCTCTCTGCTGTGGCCCGGGAAGGCAGTGGAGAATGGCCCAAGTACTTGGACCCTGCACCCGCATGGGAAACCAGGAGGAAGCACCTGGTTCCTGGCTTCGGATCGGAGCAGCGCGCCAGGCTTAGCGGCCATTTGGGGTGGGGTGAACCAAAGGAAGGAAGGCCTTTCTCTCTGTCTCTCTCTCTCTCACTGTCTAACTCTGCCTGTCAAATTAAAAAAAAAAAAAACAATGTTGACAGTTTGAGAACACTTGGTATCTTCACATTATTGTGAAACCATCCCCACCATCCACCTTCCTTTGGGCAAAGGAAAATGATCCCCATTAAACCTGAATTCCCCATTCTACCCTCCCCCTAGATTCTGCTAACCATCATTCTACTCTCTGTATGAGTTTGACTACTCTAGGGACTACAGGTAAGTAGAATCGGATGATATTTATACTTTTGAGACTGGTTTATTTCACTTAGCATAATATCTATTATATTCATCCATGTTGTAGAATGTGTCAGAATTTATTTCCTTTTTAAGACTGAAATAATATTCTATTGCATGTATATATAACATTTTGTTTACCCATTAATTCATCAATGGACACTTGGTTTTCCTCTGATCTGAAGCCTGGAGCCAGGTGCTTCCTCCTGGTCTCCCATGCGGGTGCAGGGCCCAAGCACTTGGGCCATCCTCTACTGCCTTCCCGGGCCACAGCAGAGAGCTGGACTGGAAGAGGAGCAACCAAATCTAGAACCCAGGACCATATGGGATGCTGGCACTGCAAGGTGGAGGATTAACCAAGTGAGCCACAGCGCCTCCACCATGGCTATTGTAAATAATGCTGCCATGAAATTGGGTTCAAGTGTGCATGATAAGTCAGCTACCAAAGTGTAGTGTTTAATTTCATGGGATTACTTTCTGGACTGTATATTTTATAGAAACTTCTCCCAGACATTTGTTGGGGCCATTAGGGAGGGTTTAAATTCCCTGAAACTTCTGGACTACTCAACCATGAGTGGGCAGATTGACCTGTAATTTTGGCAAAAGACCTCAGGCATGGCAGTGCTGACATTGGCAGCTGGAAGGCAACAAGGCCCAAAGAAGTGGTGAATTCTCAGGGGTGTGAGTGAGGCACTGATTGCTGCAGCCACAAGGACTTGCATGTGAACTGTAATCACAGCAATTGGTTTTAGTTCTAAGATATTTTCTAATCCATTTGAATGCACCGTTTCTCAATTATTCTTTCTACTTCCAGTCTCTGTCCTCCCCACACTCTCCTCCTTTGTCAGTGCTGTCAAACTCATGTTTTATGAAAACATGGCAATTCTCTCATTAAATGATTCTGTGAATTTCCCTTATCTATAGAATTAAATTCTTGAAGAACTTCTATGAGTAAGCATGATCAAAGAATTCAGTCCTCTGCCTCTTCACTATAGGCTGTGCATGCCTTCCCTTTCTTCCTTTTTTATCATGTGCACCATGATAGACATATTCTTTTACCACCTTGAACTTTATGCATTTACCTTAGTTCTAAATGCTCTTTTTCAACATAGTGTATCCATTGAAACTCAGCTCAAAGTTTACTTTATCTGTGAACTTTAATCTGTGCTAGGTGGAATTGTCTCCTGTTTGGTTATTTCTCTGATATAAAGTTTATTATACTGTACTTTATCCTTTTTCATATCTATTTTATGATTTTCAAGCTGTACCAGTCATTTCTGAATCTCTAACACCACCTACATTACTGAAGAAATGTGTGTTGGGTAAATACATGATTGAGTAAATGATTATCAAAAAGGCAAAGAAAAGCAAATTGCTTCTTCAGATTAATGTCAGTGATTCTAGTGATCAGCCTTCTGGATTATGAATGATATCAGAATACAATAAATGAGAGAAGTAAATTATGGTGTAGACCAATGCCAAATTACAACACTAGAGAGAGCTGTGGTATTAACCTAGAAAATTTAGTAGAAAATTGGGAATGTGTACAGGAGTTAAAACATTTCAGGAACTTGTGCCAACACTGATTTATTGAATAGGCAGAAGCTGATGGTTTTCACTTGCAAATTATCAGGAGACACTAACTATTAATGTCTGATAGTTCATAGTGCTAGAATTGGGCATCTTCCTTCAGGTTATGTGTTAACTGGGAGGGGCTTCTATATTGTAGAGACATACTTTATTTATTATTGTCTACGTGGTAGCCAAGAATGTCTGAAAATTTTAAAGATTTTCATTTTGCAGGCAAAGGCTATAGTTCTCCCTGGAGGCTGGATACCTAGGGTATGGGTCTAGGATTAGGTTACTTTAGTAGAGACAAGAAACTGCCCCCTAGTTCAGTGTCCATCCAGAGAAGTGTAGTGCCCAGAGATTGAAAAGAAGGATTTTGTTCAGTTGTGTGGTTTAAGATGTGGGGCTCTTTAGAGGCAGGCTTCAGAGTCTATTCACAGAAAGTTGCAGGACCTGATGTTAATGGTCAACTATTGCTTGAAAGTTAACAATAACAGTGAATGGGTCTAGACTGATGTGTATGATCATTGGTCTTTTTGAGCATGTATCAGTAAAAAAAGTTCTGCATTTACGATCAAATCTGATAAAATTTTCAATGATTTACAACACCAACACACAAAGTAGCTTAAAGATTTTGTCTTTATTGAAGCAAAAAAAAAAAATAGTGGGCATTGTGTACAATAAAATATTTCTGAGAAAGGTGTGATTTTTTCCAACTCCTCAACACTCCTACAGCTCACAGCTATTAAGTTTAATTTGTGGACAGAGCAGGACTCCGTTTTGTCCTCAGGAACTGGAACAAATGTGGACATGGATTTTCTGGTCAGATTTGGGGGGATGGAGCAGAGCCATTCCAACTGCAGACTGAATAGGTTTGAGAGCACTGAACCCCTTAGAAAGCAGACACCTGAGGGGAAAGACAGGATTCCCACCTCATGATGCTTCTCTTTGGTTTGGGAATCAAAGTTTTATGAAATCCCCCTGACGTCATGTGATGAACATGATGGGAGATATTGACTGGGCATGCAGCACTCTTTCCTGGCCTGGCTTATATCATGAAACTACAGGGTTTCATTTCCTGGTCTTGCAAGTTCAGTATGGATTACGGTCATGCAGCAGCCCCTGTTTGATCCAGGGCCCCAGATCCAGAGGAGACCAAACTAGAGCAGAAGAGTTTAAGTAGAAAGGGAGCTCCTGCTGTATGTATGGGGTTCTTAAAGACTCTTTGGATCTACAATTAAAGAAAGTAATGGAGATGGGGAAGGAAGGGATTTCCTAAGAGAGCCATTCACCTTCACCTTAATCCAAGTTCCAGGACAATTAAGGGGCTTTGAGTAAAAAGTTACATGGTCTGGGTAGAAGGACACTGATTGTAAACCAGTATTGGGTCTTGTTTTCCCCTCAGCCTGTTCTTGGAGGTAAGATTCTATGGTAAACGTTAATAAGAACAATATATGCCTTTTCTGTGAAGAGTGGAATGAGGCACAGCTTTATTTAAGGCCACAACTGCCTCCTACAGAGTGTGCATCAGTATCCCATTTCCCCATTTGTCTTCTTCTGATTTCCTAGATGCCTTAGTTAGGAAACAAGGTAATATGAACTGCTGGCAGCTACGTTTTTCTTGCCAGTTGAAAAGGAATTTGAAGTTCCTTTGGCTATCCAGGAAAGAAGAGGTAAGAATTGAGGAGATATGTGTAGTCTCCTTGGTGATGGTTTGCAGGTTGGTTAACCTGATTCAGGTCAATCTGAGTTTTCAGTAAATTCGACTGGGAGTTTTGTTTCTTTGATATAAAATCAGAAGAACTGCATGTCTAGTCCCGCATAGTATAGTACAGCAGAGTACAAGGAAATATAGGCCTAAAAGTTTAGGCAACTATGAAAATGGAGCATCTTGGAACAAATTTGTTGATGTCTCAAGAGTCTGTTATTGTATAACTTAACCAGACAATCTGGTTCTAAAAGGTAGGATGATCCTTGGTGACACAGGGTTACATAAGACAACCTTTATGAACCTTTATGCTGAGAGCAGAATCCAGATATGAGACCACTGTCGAGTTAATCAGAAACAAGAAAATATTGTGTGGATAATTCTTCTAATCATGATAATCACAGTGCATGCAATTCAGTTGAAGAAAGATACTGCAGCTCTTTCAGAAATTACGTTGTACTTAAGGTAACAGGACACAGCGGATACTAAAATGAAAATAAAATAAATTGAAACATTTCCCAAGTAAAATTTGTATTTTTGATTTCAAATTTGTTCTTGACATGGTTCACCAGAATAAGTAAGAGGTAAGCAGGCTTGTACTCCTCTGGGGATTGCCAATGCCAAGTTTATGGCTAAAAAAAATAATTTGTAATTCTGGATAATTTTCCCCATGAAATATAATAGCAACAATTAAAGTGACATTTTGGAAAATTATGTTCTTATACTTGGGTTATAATTCTGTGAGCTGACTTCATTGGTTAATGTGTCATGCAAACAAAATGCCAAATTGGGAAAAAGTATTAATGATAGGGTAGATGGGAAATTGCATATTATCAATTACATAGTTCATATGCTTTGCATAAAACAAAATATAGAATGGGAGGGCATGCTTTACAGGGTTTGAAAGCTTCAACTCTGCCTGTACGTTCTGCAGCAGAAATGACCCCTCTCGCCTGTCAGTCCCACACACCCCTTCTCTTGTACTATACATACAGACATAAAATTGTGTGAGCGACTTACCATTTTCCAGTCTTCATTAACTCACTTGCTTCATTTATTTTATCAAGATTCAAAGTATGGGTAATTAGTGGTTCAAGATTAAACTTCTTTTCTATATAATCAGAAACCAGTTTAGGGACATGTTCTCTGCTCTTCCAGCCTGCAAATACAGATTAATGGCAAATTTTATACAGTAGCTGCATTACAGAGGAAAGGCCACCTAGAGAAACTAGTGGAGGTGTTAGCTTTGATTGAGGATATCTAAAGGGTGTCTCATTAACATTCCTCAGTTACCAAGTGACACCCCCACCCTGTCTCAGTCACACACCTTATACCCAGGGATGTGCTCCTGAAGATGTCCAGAACTACAGAAGAGAATTAATTCAAAGCAAGTAGGGTATGGTCCTCACTGGGAGATGTTCTTGATGTTAGGTTGCTCTCTGTGGAGCAGTGAATCCATGTCTAGGTCTTAAGAATCATGAAATGAAGCAATACAAATGTTGATTTAGTCGAATTCAGTGTGTGTGTGTGTGTGTGTGTGTTGATCTGCAGCTTCATGAAAGAGTCAAATAACTTAAGAGAAAAGAAAACTCTCACTGAGGTTGAGATTTCAATTGCAGTTTTCAGAAAAAGTTGTTCAAAGCAATATAAGAATAAAATGTGCCTTCTAGAAGGAAGAATTATACAAGGAACTGGGTTCAGCTAAGATCATATAAACTTGGCATTGCATTTATTGTTATGATTTTCAAGAATTTCCTTATGTAATCTACTAAGTGTCATGGTCAACGAATGACTGCCCAGAATTCCTGGAAAGGGTGAGTCTCATGCCATTGTGCAAGGTATAATGTAGTTTAATTTGCCCAGTGTTCTATACAGACTATTCTGTTAGGGTATTGGCAGTTACTTGCTTTTCTTGGTTCCAGGTTGTGTTGGGTTTTCTAACCTTCCCATGTATTCTCAAAGCTTACCTAAACTCTTCCAGCAGATCAGATTTTTAAACTGTTTTCTGCTCCATGTAACCAAGAATTCTGACTATTGCTCGGTGTCATGACTTGGATATTTAGTGTTATTTGTTTGTATCATTTGATTGATGAGCTGATAACAAATTTTTATATCTATGTTAAAACATTTTTTTGAAATGCTCTTTCAATAAAACAACATAAGAAAGAAGATTTTAGAACCAAAGACAAGGCTAAGCAGGTTTACTCAATTAAGATCCTAGAGACATTTTGGTAAGGAAAATTTCCTCATTGTGTGCATTGTGGGAGGATTTGCAGGCCTCTCTAGCAGCCATTAATGTTATCTTTGATTGGAAAAAAACAATGAACCAGAAGATTATACTATCTATGGAAGGAATTAACTTTCATCACTGTAAAAGGAATACTTAAGTTAATATAACAAGGGTTATTTAAGAGATTGGTGGTCTTGTTTATGTCTTTATTATGTCATTGGCTTTAATTTTTTTATTTTAATTTTTTTTTGGAAATAACATATTTTTAATTTTTGTCAGAACCAAAGGCTTAATGGTTGTACTAAAAAGTTGTTTCTACAAATAAACAATAAAAAGACCATAGTCCACCAGGAAAATAGACAAGGGCCATAAATAATTATTAAATGAAAAAATGTTCAACTTCTAAGTGTGTACATTTTGAATCAGCGTTATTAGCTGTAAGTAAAATGACAGGAAATAATAATGGGCATATCCAGTTATCCTAAATGGAGGAACTGAAATTACAGTCTAAACTGGATTATTACTATTTTGTTCTTGCTAGTCCTGCCATTCATCTATTGTTTGCAAATGAATTGGTTACTACCCCTAATATCTTTAACAATATACAACCTTGGCTAATTTGGGGATCCCCAGATCACTAGTGCATGGAATTCAAACAACTCTGAATTCTCATCCCCTTTGCCCAAGCATTCAGATTGCCCAGAGTCTCTGGAAGAATAAATTTCTTATTAAATATCAGATTACTAGCTTGTGAGCCCAGCACCCTAAGTAGATTTATTCAATTTGTTTCCAACTTTTAAAATAATGGACAGCTCAAAAGTTTATTAAACATATGTTCCAAGACAGGTCTAAAGAAATGATAAATTGAAGCATTCTATGAAAACATTTTTTCCTCCAGAAAAAAAAATAATTCTCATTTGCTTTTTATTAGCAGTACTTCTTTTTCATTAGGATGCCTTGTATTTAATGTATTTGAGTTTTTATAATGAAAATTCATAACATGTTACATTAGTTGAATAATGACTACTAATAGTTGAGTATATTTTTCCCAGAATTTCAGTTAGCAGATATGTACTCAACTGAGTAGTTTTTAATGACAATAGTGCCTGATTTTTTTTCATTTTAGAGTTTGCACTAAACTTTAGACACCAATTTTTTATCAGTGTGGTTAAAAAAAAAACAAACAGCAAAACAACAACAACAAAAACCCCTCTTCTCTCCTTTTGCATGAGAAAATGCTTACCAAGAGGCTCTGGACAAACCCAAGCTGCATTCCCTTGCCCTTGCTGTTCATATATTCGGACAAGAACTGCATCTGAGGCTTACGTTGTATGTCCTCCTTAAGCATTTATGTTACATTTTTGGCTACTTATTTATATTTTATTCCTGAATTTTACTGCTAAGATCTTTTTCATGATTTATTAATATTTTAAAAATTGACACATTGAAGCACACATACTTATGTATAGATACCATGTGAGTTTTGATACATGTAAATATTAGTTATTATTCAAATCAGGGTAAACACACATATATCCTCAAACATCACCATTTCTTTGTGGCGAAAACATTTAGAATTCTTTCTTCCAGCATTTTTGAACAATACAACTCATTCCATAGCTATAGTCACTCTTCTGTATGGCACATTGTTCTGTTTCCCATCTCAAAGCCCCAAGAATCCCCTCCCCCCCGCCGCTTCATCATCCATACCTCCAAAGACAGACCCCTTCAAGGTACGCCCTGAGAAGAACAAATTGCCGTGGATCCTGACTTGATCGGTAGCAGACATAAGTCCTACAATCACGCACACCCCGTGGCTCTCATTGCAGGAGGCCACGGCAGCTGCCTGTTGTAAAGCAATGCAAGACAGTACAGGGGTTAAAACATACATTTGGGAGTGGGGGCTAGGTTTTAAATTCCACTTAACTGCTGAATGATATATCACCTTTTTTTCTGGTTCTCCCTATCCTTATTTAAAATAACATTTATCACTAAAGAATGTTCTGAAACATTGACATGACACCTATACTGCCTAGCACAGTGCATGCCACTTTAGGACTCAACACACGGAGATAACACAAATGATAATAACAAAGGTGTCCATGTAATACTAATACTACTGAGAATCGTTTTTGTACGAACCTATTACTCACAGAGGTTGACTAGAGTTGACATTTTGTTTTAGATATTAATAGGGATACTTATTTATATAATATGTGTTGGCAAAGTGATACATATACATCTTCCCATTAGTTATTTTCAAAGGCTGTTTTTCAGTTCAAGACTGTGAGAAAGGTTTGGCTGCACCTTTAAAAAAATTTTTAAAAAGTTTCTGTCTACTTGAAAAGTAGAGAACACACACACACACACAGAGAGAGAGAGAGAAGAGAGAGAGAGAGAGAGATAAAAAGCTGGACTGAGACAGGCCAAAGCTGGGAGATTGGAATGCCATCCAGGTCTCCCAGGTGGGTGATCCAAGTACATGATGCCTCCAGAAAAAAAAAAAAGAAAAAGAAAAAAAACCATCCAAACACACAAGTTTCAGATGCTGCAATAACTTTCTCTCAGTTTCTAGCCTCTTATATAAACATTATCAACAAGAAAAACAACCACTTTTTCCTTCATTTACAAATGTTCCTTACTTAATCAAGAATGGTAAATATTTTCCTTGGAAACTTAAATCTAACATGAAAGGTTTTGCTGTAAGTGAAAAGTTCACTCTCTTATAGACTTATTAATCCAACTCCAATCTTATCTCACTAAAATATCCTGGCCTAGAAATGATAAATAGGCTGCTGCTCCTTAAGAAACAATTTCTGAGAATTCTTTACAAAGTTTTACTGCTCTGCCTGCTGGAAGATGGATGTCTGCTGCTTGAAGGAATGATATGATAGAAAAGAGAGGGGAACAAGAACTCAGTATGACAGTTCTAGACTCGGTGTCTAGAATGCACAGGGGGTACCAGCGAGATGTCATTTCATAAGGAGGAAGGAAAACTAAGTACAGAAATGTGGAGGGGATTTAAGAATATTCATTCATACAAAATCTAAAGTGCTAATGGGTAGATATACTGGTACTTTTTATTGCAGAGGATCCCATACCACAGTGTCTGGATTTCCAATGACCTCAAAGCAAAATTCGACACCGGCACCTGTCATATCAAATAGAACTTCTTGTATGGGTTTCTTGAAGTCCTGTGGGCTGATGCACTCAGTGGCACCCACTTCCTCTGCCTTCTTAAATTTGTCTTTGTTGATGTCCACTCCAATGATCCTGGCTGCTCCAGCTGCTTTACAGCCCATGATGACAGACAGGCCAACCCCTCCAAGGCCAAACACAGCACAGGTGGAGCCTGGAGTCACCTAAGCACATAAAGGCAGAAAACAAAAACCAAAAGGAGCATGTACTTTTACTCGTTTGGGAAGGCCAAGACTGAATACACTTTTTATGAGATGCAAGCCCAGGCTATTTGCAAACAGAACATAACTAGAAAGTTCTAGTTTCCCAAGATATTTCTAGATGTGGGATATTCTTGACTCAGGAGGAAAAAAAACCTAATTGAAAGTAGCTAGTTTCAAAACCCAGGAATTAGCATGAGGAGAAGTAGTTTAATGGATTTTCATAGTATCTGAAGACTTATTTGACAGAATTATTTATATAAATATGTATATATATGCATAATTTAAACTGAACCCCTTCCATTGTATCTCTCTATATAGTGTTGGGACTAATGAACATTGAAGAAAGCAGAGACCTAAAACACAGTAGTTCCTTAAGGAAATAATCTGGGAAGAATTGAGAGTAGGTGTTATTCCAGAGCAGGATTTCACACAGCAACGTTCCCCCCACCACTCCCTACCTTTAGTTTTCTTTTCTTTCTATTAGCACACATCACTACCAAATCTATCACACGCTAGAATGCAAATGATCAGTTTTCTTAGCTGCTGAAACCCAGCACCTAAAACAGTGAATGACTTCATTAATGTTTATTGAATGAAAGAAGGCGTGAACTGGAGTATGGAAGGACACAGCATCACGTAGTAGTAACTGTTCTGTTTAGCTTCCAGCAATTCCTGGTGTGTCTACCTGTGACTTAATTTGTCACTGATAGCTGACGGAGATGGAGTGGGAAAGATGAATTAAAGAGGGGATGGGATGATCAGGCAGATGCAAGGGAACCCAAGGATATTTAGAGGCAGATATGTAAGTTCTCCTCAGGTAGTTTTTTTTTTTTTTTAATTTGACAGGCAGAGTTAGGTAGTGAGACAGACAGAGAGAGAGAAAAGTCTCCCTTCCATTGGTTCACCCCCCAAATGGCTGCTATGGTCTGTGCTACGCCCATCCAGAGCCAGGATCCAGGTGCTTCCTCCTGGTCTCCCATGCAGGTGCAAGGCCCAAGCACTTGGGCCATCTCCACTGCCTTCCCAGGCCAGAGCAGAGAGCTGGACTGGAAGAGGAGCAACCGGGGCTAGAACCCGGCACCCATATGGGATGCCGGCGCTGCAGGCAGAGGATTAACCAAGTGAGCCACAGGGCCGGCCACTCCTCAGGTAGTTTAATCAGACACCACCCAGATGAAGGAGGCCTTGGATCTCCAACATTTCAACAATTCCATTCAAACTGCAGTAGAAGCCGCTCACCTTGGCTGTATTGATCGCAGCACCAAAGCCAGTGGAAAACCCACAGCTAATTAGACATACTTTCTCCAGAGGTGCACTTGCATCGATCTTGGCAATGGAGTCTTCCCTTACCACTGTGTATTCAGTGAAGGTGCTTGTAGCAGCAAACTGCTTAACTGATTTTCCCTTGCAGGTAAACCTACTGGTACCATCAGACATCAGCGCGGTTTTGGACTGTCTTTATATAAAAAAAAAAAAAAAAAAAACCAAAATTTATTTAATTAGGAAGCTTAGTTTTTCTCCCATGAAATAGAGTCAATTTTTCAAAAAGAAAATATCAATAAAGACTTACTTAAGTTTTATACAATAATTCTCCCCAGAATTCAAGCAAGAGGAACATTCTCCACATTGTGGTAGAAAAAGAATGATAACTTTATCACCTACAAAAATAAAATAATTTTCTATGGAGATAGTGTTTTGTGAAGTAAAGGGATAGTTTCCTTTCAGCATTTTAACATTAAGGCACCCAAGGGATAACTGAGAATTATTTCTCCATGTAGCTGTGTTTGATGCTATGAAGCATACCAAATACTTAAAAACAGAGGAGTTGTCTTTTTGTATTTTTCTGCAGCATTGGGCTCAGTGGCTGACCCTTGTGAAGCTGTCCTCAGAATTACCTCCCATGTAACTTTCTCTCTGAGCACCAAATGACTTTTCACATAGCCATTCAGCCCTCTCATATTTTCTATACTAACTTCTGCTGTGAGAGATTTGATTTAAATTGACATGGTACCACATGACCACAGAATCACCTTTGCAACCTGGAGAAAGAATGGCCTATATGCTGTTCCCTGTATTCCACATCAACTGTTCTTCTTGGCAGGGGGATCAAAGGTAGGCAGATTTCTCCAGCAGTGTTTGCAACATAAGGAGGAAATGAGAATAACTTAGGTGGGATGAACATACCACCTGTCCCATTGCCTGTCACTGCAAACCACAGCAGTTTATATTATAGTTTTGGTTGAAAAGTTTATAAATATTTAAGTTCTTTTGTTTTATTTATTTTTATTTTAAAATAACATAAACACATTGTAAAAATGTAAAGGACACCAAAGTTAAATTGTCACCATATTTCCAGGTCTCTCATTCCTCATGATAGAGACAATCTGACCAGTATTTGTGGTATTTTTCTTAGATACAACTGCTTTAAAATGTAAATGAGGAAATGCAGAGAAAGTTAGTGGCTGAGTTAGGCACTGAGGATCATCTCACAAAAACACAAATTTGAATGGCTTATTCACACACGAAGTCACTGTTAAAAGAGCTATGAAAGCCAGGTAAGAGACCTTAGTTCTTGGTTTTGGTGAGAAAGTTGGAAAAGAAGAATTGAAGAAAGCAGGAAGGAAAGAGTTGCCTGTGTCACCCCTTCCCTAGCCACAAGTAGCTCAGTGTAGTGAGAGATAGCTCACCTCCCACTGGGGAGAGGGAATGAGAATTAAGTCAGACCTCAGAGTTGCAGTACAGTACAAGGCCTGCTATGATAAAAAAAAAAAAAAAAAAAACCAAAAGCAAAACAAAAAATCCCAGTGCCTGACAAGGCCCCATAGCCTTTGCTCCCAAGCTTGCACCTGCAGACTGAGATTTTGGAACCCCTCTAGCTAAGAAGCTAAGGGACTATCTCCACTGCCCCTTCGCCAGCCTCTGGCAGACAGCTGAGCAAGACTCCAGCCACTGGAAAATAGGACCAGAAAAGAACTTACAGCTTGGCTGTGAGATCCATCAGCAGACAAAGCCAGTGCTTACAGACAGAGCCTCTGGACTTGTCCCTACATCACATAGAGACCTGTGCCCTCGTGGAATTTTTTCAGAGTGTGTCACTGCCAGCCTTTTGTGGCCTGAGTTTGTACAGAGCCTGGTGACAGTGAGACTCAGGTGTGACCCACTTAATGCCAACCTAGGAGCTACCTTTAGTACCCCATCCCCAACCTTAGGCAAATGGCGAGAACCCACAGCACTCAGTCTGGGCTGGTAAAACCTAATATCGGGCATATTCTCACAGTCCTCATCCCCATACCAGTACCTGTATTCAGAGCCTTTTTAAAAAAAATTTTTACAGGCAGAGTTAGACAGTGAGAGAGAGAGAGACAGAGAGAAAGTTCCTCCTTTTCCATTGGTTCACCCCCCAAAATGGCCGCCATGGCTGGCGAGCTGCGGGATTCGAAGCCAGGAGCCAGGTGCTTCCTCCTGGTCTCCCACACTGGTGCAGAGCCCAAGTACCTTTGGACCTGTCCCAGTTCCACGGAGTCCCCTGACCCCAAATGGTTGGATTTATATCTTATCCACAATCACCTGTGCTTGATTGCAGTGGCCTTGGAATTTGAATCCACCTAGGAAAAGGCAGACCATATCAAAATTGCACTTTGGTTCAGTCCCCAAACTGTTGATCTCAGTATGTTGTGGGTTCAGGGTGTGACCTGGCATGCATCATTGACCACCACAAGACTGGGGTGTTAGTCTAATTCAGCCCCAAGAAGTTGTTTCTGGGAATGGGTTACCCCTTTTTAGACACTTGATCAGTTATTCTGAACAAGACCAACTGCAACTTTGGGACAAATGTAGGATTGAAAGGAAGATAAAGCACTTATAGCCGACTTGGAGCAAACTTCGACTTTGGGTGCCATCTGTTGCTGAAAGAGCAGAAATGTCTATAGACACAGAGAAAATAAGCAGATTGCTTAGAATCATTGGAAGCGCAGCTACAAGTGAAGCCATTTTATGAAGAAAGCAAAAAAAAAAAAAAAACATATCCTTCAGTGAACAGATGATGTCATATGTTAACCAGCATCAAGAACTTTCAGGGAACAGTGATCTCACCTAACAAGCAAAATAACTTGCCAGAAACAAGACACCTAGAATCCAACATTTGCAAATGCTAAGATGAAAGTTTTCAAAGTTTTTAAAGGAGATACGATGAATGTCAAGAGAGCCCAAAGAAATGATTTAATATTTCTAATAGAAGTTTGAGAGTTGGAAATAACTAAGAAAAATCAGGCAGAAATCCTTCTAATGAAAAGTACACTAACATTTTTTTAAAATGTATTTGTTTTCTTTTTTTAAAAGGTTTTTTATTAATTTATTTGAAAAGTAAAGTTACAGATGGCGGGAGATACAGAGAGAGGTCTTCCATCTGCTAGTTGACTCCCCAAATGGCTACAGTGTCCAGAGCTGTGCCGATCTAAAGCCAGGAGCTTCGTCTATGGGTGCAGGGGCCCAGGTACTTGGGCCATCTTTCACTGCTTTCCCAGGCCATTAGCAGATAGCTGGATAAGAAAAGGAACAGCTGGGACACGAATTGGTGCTCATATGGGATGCCAGAATCGCAGGCTAAGGCTTAGCCTATTACGCCACTGAAAATTTAAAATATTACAGAAGGTATGAAAATAGAGCACAGCAGGGCCAGCGCCACGGCTCAATAGGCTAATCCCCGGCCTGCGGCACCGGCACCCCAGGTTCTAGTCCCGGTTGGGGCGCCGGATTCTGTCCCGGTTTCTCCTCTTCCAGTCCAGCTCTCTGCTGTGGCCAGGGAGTGCAGTGGAGGATGGCCCAAGTGCTTAGGCCCTGCACCTGCATGGGAGACCGGGAGAGGCACCTAGCTCCTGCCATCGGATCAGAGCAGTGTGCCAGAAGCAGCGCGCCGGCCGCATTGGCCATTGAGGGGTGAACCAACGGAAAAGGAAGACCTTTCTCTCTGTCTCTCTCTCTCTCACTGTCCACTCTGCCTGTCAAAAAAAAAAAAAAAAATAGAGCAGAGCAAACAGAAGAAAAAATCAGTAAGCTTGAAGAGAGTCTATTTGGAAAAACACAGTGAGAGAAGAAAAAAGATTAAAAAGTAATGAAAGAAGTCTATGGGAACTTTAGGACTTCATGAAAAGAGCAAATACCTACGCTATTAGGAATTAAGAGGGATTTTAGAATGCCAAAGGGGTAGCCAGCATTCAAACAGATAATAACAGAAAACTTCCTAAATCTAGAGAAAATACAGTTGTCTAGGTACAGGAAGGTCAGAGATCATCAGTCAGATTCATCTCAACCAAATCTACTCCAGCGCATATGATAATTTAGGTCTCCAAAGTTGAAAACAAAGAGAGAATTATCAAACCTACAAGAGAAAAAATGTAAATTACATAAAGGGGTTCCAAAGTGCCTGACTGCAGATTTCTTAGTAGAAAGAGGAAAAGTGGTGATACTTTCATCATACTGCAGGGGAAAATACTGCCAGCCAACAATACAGCAAAACTATCCTTTAGATCTAAAGGAGAGATAAAAGCATTTAAGACAAAAGCTGAGAGGTTTTATCACCATCAGATCTTTATAAAAAGGAATGCTAAAAGAAGATTTTACAAATCAACAAGTAGATATATAATGAGTAAGAAGAAAATATCAGAATATCAATGAAAGAATGGAGTAAGATATATCATACAAATGGAACCCCAAAGAAAGCAGATGGAGTCATTCTTCTAATAGATAAAATGGATTTTAAATCAGAAGCAGTAAAAGAGACAGGGTCATTATGTAATGACAGAAGGTTCAATCTCACAAACAGATAACAACTGTAAATGAATATGCATCTAATACCCAAGTACACAAAGCAAATACTAACAGAACTAATGAAAGAGAGACCAACTACAAAAATCTTGGAGGACTGTGATACTCTACTTTCAGAAATAGGCAAGTCATTCAAACAGAAGATCAACAAAAGACAGCAAAGTTAAATCAAGCCCTGGATCCAGTGGAGCAAGGAGACATCTATGGAATGTTCCATTCAAGACCTACAATATAGGTATTTTTCTGAACATCAGATGGAACATTCTCCAGGATAGATCATATGGTGTGTCACAAAGCAAGTCTCAACAAAGTTCATACATAGAAACCATATTAGATATTTTTTTCTGAGCACAATGCAATAAAACTGGAAATCAATTAAAAAACACTTTGGATACTATATAAATACATGGAAATTAAATTTATTCCTGAACAACAACTTCCAGTTTTCCCAGCACCATTTGTTGAATAGGCTGTCCTCCCGAAATTGGTTTTAGCTCCTTGATCAAATATAAGTTGATTGTAGATGTTTGGACTGATTTCTGGTATTTCTATTCTGTTCTGGTGGTCTACCCATTTGTTTCTGTACCAGTACCATGCTGTTTTGATTATAACTTCCCTTTAGTATGTCTTGAAATCTGGTATTGTGATGCCTCCAGCTTTGTTTTTGTTGTTGAAAATTGCTTGAGCTATTCTGGGTCTTTTGTGTTTCCTTATGAACTTTTGTACTGTTTTCTCTAGATCTTAGAAGAATGTCTTTGGTATTTTGATTGTGATTGCACTGACTCTGTAAATTGCTTTCAGCACTATGCACATTTTGATGATATTAATCCTTCCAATCCAGTAACATGGAAGATTTTTCCATTATTTGTGTCTCCTTATATTTCTTTCTTCAATGGTTTTTGTTGATTTTTATTGATTTTTTTTCTGCTGATTTTATATCCTTCAACTTTACCAAACTGTCATATAAGTTACAAATTTTCTTGGTAGACTCTTTTGGTTTTTCTCTATATAGGATCATGTCATCTATCAACAGGGATAATTTGACTTCCTCCTTTCCGATTTGTAAACATTTGATTTCTTTTTCTTGCCTAATGACTGTGGCTAAAACTTCTAGAACTATATTGAGTGGCCACGATGAGAGTGGGCAACCAGGTCTTAGTGGAAGTGCTTCCAATTTTTCCCCATTCATTATGATGCTGGCTATGGGTGTTTATATACTTTCCTCTAATCTTGATGTGTATTTCTTTTGCCAATTTTTCTACGGGACTTTTAAAAAACTACTTTTAAAGAATTAGTTCTGTATTAAGTAAAGTGGTATATTGTTATATTTGTTGATTTTGTACACAGATTAACAATTATTTTTGTTGTCACATTTATTTAAGTACTGTTAGGCATTTTTTTACATGTTAAAATTTCCTTTAGTTATTTTCTCATGTTACTTATAGTATTTCTGTGGTTTTACTTCACACATTTAATTCTTAGATTCACATATAATTTTTGTATAATGAATAAGATAACATAATTTTTTAGCTCAAATGACTATTCAGTTGTTTGATCACAATTTTATTGAATAACCCATATTTCTGCCTTCAAATTTGAAAGACGAACTTAGTCCTAAGTTAAATTCCTACATGTATTTGGATCATTCAGGACTTCTCTATTTCAATCTACTAATGTGTTTGACATTTTATCATATGCTTCATTTAAATAGTTGTTCAGTAGTCTATTTTTGTTGTATAAACTTTATAGCTCATTAGTACTTTCAGATCCAGTTTCAATGCTTTCAACTTTTTGGTTTTCTTATTATCAAAACATAAATGCTAAGAGTACAACACAGTACATAATTATTCCTTCTTCTTTAAGAAATGAGCAACATTTCCCCTTTTATTTTCCTGTGATGCTAACACATTTAAGGAATGCTGTTTACTCCCTGATGTGGGCTCCAAGTCATTGCTATTTCCCAGCCCCACTTGTCAGTTCCTACCTGGCTTCACTGTGTTCACTCCTCCTCCCACACTCTCAACTATTCCAGCCCCTTCGTGGCCCAGAATGATGGGATATAAGCCAGGAAGGTCTGTGCGCGCCAACATTTTCATCTCTGTACCACAGAGTCCTGTGGCCACGATCTGTGTGGAAGACAAAGAATACTACAGTTCCTTCTGCCTCTGATAAAAGTGTTTGAGAATTGTCAGTGCTTGAAGCTATTTTGCTGGTTTTATATGGTCCATTAATATAGCATAGTAAATTCTTTTAGATGCTAGAGAAGGGTAATTATTTAAAGGAATTCAGTGTTTTTCTTTAGCTAATTTCAGAGTCAAGATGAAAGTTTAAAATTTTCTAGGGAGGGTAGAACAGGATCAGAAGAGAAGTTGTAGAACCAGTGTGACATCAAAGGCCCACTTGGTCCATCATGGAGCTGTGGTGTGGGAATGTGGAGGAGAAAGACCATAGAACTGAAAGATTGGAACACAGGAGGGCAAGGAGTAGTATTTTCTCTTGTAATTGAAGTGTTAATTTATTTCACAAGAGAACTTTGTAGTTGTGTTATGTAATCAGCCAGAAAGGTTAAATGAGGGCACCCCAGAGCAGAGGTTAAGGGTTCAAGGCTGAATTCCTAGCTCTTCCTCTTCTTAGCAATCTGGTCTGATGGTAAACAATCCTATGAGTCTCAATTTCTTTTCTAAAAAATATGAGGTTTGTACCCTCCCCAGTGTCACAAAGCAATTGCCACAGCCATACCACATTCTGCCAAGAAATAAAATTGATTGCAATTTGTACACATGAAAGGAGAATTATTAGAGACTGTTATGAATTTGCTTGCAACACAACTACAGAAGTGCAGTCAGGCCTCATAGATTGAGAAAACTACCAATGGCCATTCTCTCAACTTTGCTTGAACTTGAGCATATACTGCACTTTCCTTGCAGATGGGCTTTTCCCATTATTTCCATAATCACATGGGTAAAAATGGCTACCAACCCCGAATCCAGGCATCCTCTCCAGTCCCCACAGTCCCCACCATCCCCTACTTTGCTACAATTTCTATATCATGGTTCACATTAACCAGTAAGAGATCCAGATTTGTAGCTTGTAAGATAATGGTTAGATATCTTTGATTCAGTGCTCTGACTTGGTTACATGAGTTGTGACCCTGTGGGTGGGGAGTATAAGGAGACAGCAAATGGCTCACTGATCACTCCACAGGGGATGTGGGTCAGAGAAGTCTTTGAGAAGAGGGCAAGGACTGTACAGATGAGGTAATTTAGAACATTATTATATTTTTATTATAAACCAATAAATGGTACTTCTTCATCATTACATGTAAACTAATAAAAAGTAAAAGGCCCTAATTAGAAGTCAGGTGAATTATGTTTTAGTCTGGTAAGAAACTTATTAGAATTATCGGGAGGTGGGGAATTTAAAAGCTCTTCATGCGCAGGCTGTACTCCAGACCAGTTAGATGACAATTTCAGAATCTCTTAGAAAGTGAGTCAGTATCTTTCAAACCCCCACGTGATTCCAAATATTTAATGAGGGTTGAGAAAAACTGTTGAAGTCTGTGTGAACAGTTACTAAACAGCTCTAACCTTTTCTTTGGCTGGATTTAAAGATTGATAGTAATGTTAAGTAAAAAAGAAATGGAAGAGTACACAGCATTTGTTTCTGAATTAAACATTCTGAAAAGATTATATAACTTACAATGAATAGAACTGTGTTTTTTTGGAGAATCATTAGCTTTTTAATCATTTATTTTTTAACTTTAGATTAACATCTAAAACTTGCACATTTGAAGGGGTAGGGTACAATGCAAATTTTCAACACATATACATTCTAAAATTTACTGTACCATGTAATCAAGCCAGCCTTTCCATGGGTTTTGGAATGAAAATGTGGATTTTTTTTTTACCTTTATACGAACTTCCTTTTCCTTTGGTGGGGCCACTTCCACCTCCTCAATGGAAAATGGTGCACCAGACTTCCAGAGTACAGCTGCTCTGCATCTGATAACCTGGACAGTAATATATAGGGGTGCAAAGGAAAACTTCTCAGGCTGGGCTGCTGGAAGATCCCTAGTTAACTACTATTAGAAGATCGATTCTTCTACATTCAATCAAAAGTCCCATAATTAGATGCTGAAGATAGCCTTTCCCCTCCAACTCAAATTTTCCTGTATCATCATTTATGAATTCAAATAAGTGTTACAAATACAATACAACCAGGAGTATAGATGTCATGTTTTTGATAGTACTATGAATAAAACTGCCCATTGGTTGTTTCAGGGTAGGAATGACATAGTTTGGGAGTTATTGGTAATCCTAAGTATGGGAAAGAAGCAGTTTTGGAATAAAGAGGTGTTATAGGGCAATGAATAGAGATCATCTAGTTGTGGCAGTCAACAAATGATTCTTACTGGCAAATTGAAGTTGGAGAGGTTGTTGGTGGCAATACAGTTCTTAGGGGCTCTGATTTCAGCCCCCCTCTCTTCCTGCGTGATCTTATCTATTTTTGTAGATGTAGCCCCTACCTTCATGTAGATGACCCTTGCAATCTGTATATGTAGAACTCCTTTCTCCCTAAACTTTAGACTCTTGTATTCTTCTGCTCTTTGAATGATTTAAAGATATCTGAAACTCAATGTGTTGAAGTATGAACAAGGCTGATGTTGTGGTCTAAGAGATAAAGCTGCTGTCTGTAATGCTGGCATCCCATTTGGCACCAGTTCACGTCCTGGCTGCTCCACTTCTAATCCAGCTCCCTGATAATGACTTGGGAAAGCAATAAAAGATGACCCAAGTGTTTGAGCCCCTGCCATCCATGTAGAAGACCTGGATGAAGCTCCTAACTTCTGGCTTCTGTCTGACCCAGCCTGGCTGTCACAGCCAGCTGGGGAGTGAAACAATCGATGGAAGATTGTTCTCTGTCTCTCCCTCTCTCTCTCTGTAACTCTTTCAAAATAAATATTTAAAAAATTCATAAGCACATTAATATATTTTTCTTGCACATCCACTCCCCTACTCTCCTTCAGACATAGCACCTTCCACTCGACAAAATTTGTTTATCCTTCTGCTTTCTTTATTTCAGTTGTTGGCCATGCAATCTATTTACTCCCCAAAGATAGAATTCTGAGAAACAAAATTTTCACTCTCCCTCAACTCCCACAATCTAAATTTTTCTGGACTCTATCCTTTCGTATCAATTCCTGCTACCACTCTGTGGTCTAGCCTCTCATTGTCTTTCAGCTGGATAATTTAGTAAGTCTTCTGTTTTTCCCCTGGATAAGTTTTATACCATTCAAATTTACCCACTGTTTCTATGCTATATGAAAGATACTCCTGATCATATCAATGTCTTAACTAAATATGTTATTGCTACCAACATTTTTTAAACAAGATTCATTGACATTATGAATCTTTCCCTATCAATCTTTCCAATCTTATTTCCTGCTACTTTCTGCTTCAGAATTTACCTTCCAACCACAATAAGTATTCTGGATATTCTTAGGTGGAATATTTTTCTTTCCTCTGTTTTTCCTCACCTGGTTTTACCTACCTGCACACTCTTCTTCTTTACCTGGTGAATTCTTAGTAGCTTTTCCCTTAGATGTCATCTTCTCTGGGAAGCCAAGATGGGTAGCAGTTCTTCCTTAAGCCTAAAACCTCTTTGTTATCTTTTACTTCCCTTTCATACTTTTTGGGAATTAATTTTTTATAATTACTGTGTCTCTCTGTGAGACCCTTGAAGGAAAGGGCCTACATTTGACTTTGGAAAGTCTGACATGGGGCTTGGACATTATTAATTGATTAATGAAGGAATAAAACATAAAGGAAAGGCAAAATAGGTAAAATGAATAAAATAAAAGGGAAAGGAGGAGGAGAGTCACTAAGATGAAGAAAACTTTTTACTTTTAGTAGTCAAGAGACGAATTGGAGGGGAGGTAGATATTGGTAAAAAAAAAAAACAAAAAAAAAAAACAAGCACACGAGGTGACACAGGTATGATGTGATAGAAAGAAAATTATACCTACTTTGCCTGCAGTACTCATGATGACTTTCTTGTGTGCTCTTGCCACAGATGAAAATATTGAGAAAAGGCGTTTCTGGTCACAACTTTCACTGTGAAGTTCGAGGGTATGTGGATAACTAGGAGATCAAAAGCCCGAATCTTGAACATATAAGCAGTTAATAATTAATTCAGATCTTTTTATGTTTCCCAGAATCTTAGACTCTCTTGTCACTTGAGCGATGCTATTAAAGGTAATCTGAAATAGGCTTAGTTCAGTGAAAAAGTACAAAATGTGAAATTATGCAAACATTTTTCCCCTTCTTAACCCAGAAGTTCCCTTATCAGTATTCATTTCATTAAATTTGATATTTGGGCTTTCAAATGTCCAAGTTTAAAATTTCTAACTGAATATATAAAGCTTTCTTTTTTGATGTTTTTAAATTGAGAGATATTCATCTTTGTCTCCAAACGTGAATAATTCTTTTGGTTTTCTGAACTTATATTGCATTGTTGAGGATTAGGATGATACTGAACAGTTTTCTCTAGTAGTTTAGTAAAAATAATCCATCCCTTACTATATGCAGGTCTGATTACTCAGAGGAAGTGAAGACAATTTGCATAAGAAGCCTAATAAGTAGGTTTTGGAAGTGAGAAAGATTGTGTATATAGGCGAAGAGCCTTGAATAAGACTCAAGGATCTTGTTGAAGGATGGAGACAAAGAAACACATTCTTAGTGAAAGACAACCCAAGTGGGCAGGCTTCAGTCAGAAGAATAGAGCCCAAGTAAGTACTGTTTCTTTGTCACTTGGTTTGATCATGTGATTTTTCTTCTTTAGTGTGTTGGTATGATAGATTATGCTGTTATGAATTTTCAAGTATTGAACTAGTCTTGCATACCTGGAACAGACTTTCTTGGTGTATTCTTTTAAAATTCCAGAAATCTTCAAAAAGTTCATGGAACATGTATATTATGAAAAAAAATTACTCATGAATTTCAATTTTTTTTTTGCCTCAGAATAAGCTTATCTTTACATTCCATTTTTTTTTCATGAACTTTTTGAAGTTTCTACGTGCTGTTGGATTCATTGGCTAATGTTTTGCTAAGGCTGCTTGTGTTTATATTCGTGAGAGCTGTTAGTGTCTTGGTAATAATAACTTTATAAAATAAGCTGGTGGGTTTCTCCTGTTCTGTTTTCTGGAAGACAATGTAAAGAATTGGTGCTAATTCTTTAAGTGTTTGGTAGAACTCTCCATTGAAACCATTAAAACTACAGGTCATTTTTGCAGGCGATGCTTTACATTATGGATTCAATTACCTTTATTCTTATGGGGCTAAACTTGATCTGTTTCACATTTGGTGACAGTTTGTGATTTTTGAGAGATTTTTCCATTTTGCCTAATTTGTTAAATTTATATATGTAGGGGAATTTCAAGATGGCTGAATAGGGAAAAGACATACTGCTTTAGGCAAGGATAAAATAGTAGTAAAAAGGTGGAGGCAGTGCATTCCCAGGAAAGAGTTGAGAGAAATATGCACTGGAAAGTCTATAGAAGAAAGAGGGACACTGTGGATAAGCATGGAAGGGACAGACACACAGCAACAAGCACAGACACAACACACGATACCCATAGCCAAGAGCTAAAGAAAGCACCACCTTTGGAGAGTGTGGTGAGAGCAGACTGCTTGCAGCCCATCCCAGTGGTGATATTGCTGGAGGGAGACATGGCAGAGCACATTGTTTTTGAGTCTAGCCTGGAGTCTTACTGGGTGACAGGGTACCCACCTAACCTAGCAAAAAAAGGGAACATTTCTTCCCCCCATCACCCCAAAAGGGCACTTGTCAACTGATGGGGAGACAGGGCTATTTTGATACAAGTAGCTACTGTGGCAGCTCTTGTGTGCCCATGTGATCTGGGAATTTTACTGGAGGCAAACATCTGTATTCCCCACTAACTTTGAGTCTGGGTGGAGGGTTGACAAGCAACTGGGCACCCATGTAGGACTGTGAGGTGCCCCTCAGTCTGTCAACATTATCACAGGCTCTCGGGCTCAGACTGCAAAGGCAGTGCACCCACAGACAGCTGACTCTGGGAACATTTCTGTTCTGTCCCTGGACAGGACAGGCTAGTGGTGCAAAATCTCTGCACCAAGTGACTGTGGGAGCCTTGTGTGCTGAGACTATGGGGACTGTATGACTAAATGATAGGGTGCACAGTGTAGCCAGGTCTCTGGGCAATCCCTGTGTGCAGCACCAGAGCTTCAGAGTGCCTTGACTTCTGGAAGTGGGTTATCACAGTGGGATCTGTGCTCACACTGAGGACTATACAGATCTTTTACGCAGTTCATAAGGCAGCTTGAGTGAGTGTTGCACCCACTGTGGGCTAGACCCAGGGTTTGATCACCTTGGTAGGGAGGAGATGAAGGTGGAATTATGCCAAAAGAAGTGATCATATCCTCCTCTCTGCTGACAATAGAGATCTACCAAGCCCAACTAAGGTGTCACCTTGGATAATCACCTTGCCATGGAACACTGACCAGACTTACTTGGCCACACCCAGCACATGCCTCTGGGTATTCACTGAAACAGCAGACACTCCACTAAGCCACAGAGGAACAGTTCAAAGATAAAAACCATCAGAGAGAGAAAAAAACAAGTATTTCAATAAATACCTAAAAATAAATGCAGAAATTTAAGAAACAAGAATAAAGAAAACAAAGTGACTGCAATTAGGAACACAACACTTCAATATTAGAATGTGAAGATGAAGAGATTAATGAAATGCCTGAAATGGAATTCAAAATATATCATAGGATTACTCAGAAGCAAATAGAAGCAAATTCACAAGTTAAAGAAATCCATACATGACATGGAAAAAGAATTTTCCCTGAACTTGATATTTTTAAGATAAATCAAACTGAAATGTTAGAAGTGAAGAATTAAATATGTCAAATAAAAAATACAATGGAAAGCCTTAACAATAGACTTGGTGGGCAGAAGAAAGAAAATCCAAGTTAGAAGACAAATCTTTGGAAATATCTCAGTCAATGTTTTAAACAGCTTGAGAAGAATTGGAATTAGTTCTTCTTTAAATGTCTTGTAGAATTCAGTAGTGAAGCCATCCAGTGCTGGGCTTTTCTTTTGTGAGGTTCTTTTTTACTGATCAATCTATGTATTGAAGAAAAAAAAGAGGAAGAAATTAGAAAAATAAAAACAGTGTTGGAGATTTATGGGATACTTTCAAGCAACCCAATATATAGGTCTTATGAGTAACTGAAGGTATGCAAAAGAAAACGTATTAGAAGGTCTATTCAGTGAAATAATTTCATAAAACTTTCCTAATTTAGAGAAAGAAAGGGGTGTGCAAATACACAAGGCACATAGAACTCCTAGTAGATATGCCCAGAAAAGATTTTCACAATGACACATTGCAGTCACACTTTCAAAAATAAAGCATAAAGATTCTAAAATGTGCATGAGAAAAATGCCAGATTTCTTTCAGAAGATCCCCATTAGACTCACAGCAGACTTCTCATCAGAAACCCTATAGGCTAGGAGAGAATGGCGAGATAGTTCAGATCTTTAGAGAAAAAGGCTGTCAGCTCAGAATACTGCACCCTGCAAAGCTCTTATTTATTAGTGAAGGTGCAATAAATACCTTTCATAACAAACAGAAATTAAAGGAACTTGTCACTGCTTGTCCAGCCTTACAAAAGATGCTTAAGGATGTGCTACACACAGAAACATAGAAACATAGTCATCACTATGAAAGAATGTGAAGGCAGAAAATCTCCCAGTAAAAGTACAAAAGAAATCCAAAATAAACAATGGAGTATTTATGGAAAAATGGCAGGGCCAAGTTATTACTTATCAAGGTTATTAACAATAACCTTGAATATAAATTGCCTAAATTCTCCAATTAAAAGACACAGGCTGAGGGATTCCAAGATGGCAAAATAAGGAGAGGGTATACTGCTTTATGCTAGGGGAAAACAGTAAAATACAAGTAGGAAATACATTCTCAGGGTTGAGTTGGAGAGAAAACTGCAGAGGAAATTCTACAGAAGGAAAAGTGATGCCGTGGATCAGTGTGGAAGGTGTAGACATGCAGCAACAAGCATAGACACAACACATGTCTCAGATAGCCAAAAGCCAGAGGAAGTGCCCACTTTGGAGAGTGGGGTGAGATCAGACTGCAGTGGCCTGTGCCACTGGTGATACAGCCAGAGGAAGAACCTGGCAGACTACACTGTTTTTCAGTACAGTCTGGGGATACCCATTCAACCAGTGAATAAAAGGAGCACATTTGGTTTTCCTCATTACCACCACAATGGCACCAATGGTAACTGGCTGAGAGAGGGGAGGCACTATTCAGCTAAACAAATTTGATACATCATGGGCCCAACTAACCAAACAACCAAGATCTAAATCAATTATATAAGATATGTAAATTGGGAGACCAGGAAAAGCACCTGGCTCCTGGCTCCTGCCATCGGATCAGCGCGGTGCGCCGGCCGCAGCGCGCCGGCCGCGCCGGCCATTGGAGGGTGAACCAACGGCAAAGGAAGACCTTTCTCTCTGTCTCTCTCTCTCACTGTCCACTCTGCCTGTCAAAAAAAAAAAAAAAAGATATGTAAATGGACATATAACAACAGATAGCACAGAAATAAAAACAATCATCAGGAATTACTACAAAGAGCTGTATTCCAACAAACTGGAAAATCTATAAGAAATGGAGAGACTCTTAGACACATACAATCCCCAAAATTGAGTTATGAGGACATAGAAAACCTAAACAGACCAATAACCAATACATAGATTGAATCAGTAAAAAAGAACCTCACAAAAGAAAAGCCCAGCACTGGATGGCTTCACTGCTGAATTCTACAAGACATTTAAAAAAGAACTAATTCCAATTCTTCTCAAGCTGTTTAAAACACTGAAAGGAGGGAATGCTGACAAACTCCTACTATGAAGCCAGCATTACCTTAATTACTAAAAACAAATAGATGCAACAGAGAAAGAGAACTACAGACCAATATTCCTGATGAACATAAATGCAAAAATCCTCAACAAAATACTAGCTAATTGAATCCAATAACACATCAGAAAGATCATTCACTTGAACTAAGTGAA